TAAGGATTAATAGGATTCTTTGTGTACCTCACACACCATATTTGGGTAAAATTGGTCAAGTCGTTAATGAGGTATAGGATTTTACTTAAAGGTGGGCAGCCCCTTGTCCCTCCTGGTTGTGAAATTTAATGCTTGGGGCTCACTTATTCAGTGAGTTATCGCACTTTTATTCGTTTCATCCCATAACCACGGATTTTCCCAATCCTACAGAGCTGAATCTAAATCCGGTTCCCAATATTGCTTTTCCTTCCATAGTGCAAGTGGACAAGGAAGCAGGGAAAAGCTTCTATATGGATGGTTCCAAACTATATAACCGAAACACAACAAGGATCATATATATATATATATACGGATAGCCATGCGACTTTGAAATCTCTGATGTCTCATAGGATTTCGTCGAAGACAGTGAAAGCATGTCATGATCTTCTAGCGGATCTAACATCCTATTTCACGGTAAATCTACAATGGATCCTATGACACAGTGACATCCCCAGGAACTATGTAGCAGATGAACTAGCCTGAACAGGCACCACCCTACAACTAGATCCTGGTAAGGAGTCAGAAGTACGGCGTGGTTAAGAGAGGAGCCAATAGAGTGAGAGACCACAGTCCCAGACAGAGAAAGGTATGGGCTGAATGAGTTCATTTTGACATAGCTGAGGTATACTTGAGGTCATATTTTGAAGCAATTTTATAAATATATAACTCACAAATTGAGCTACATATTCGTCCAAAGGTTTGTTAGAATAATATATGTAGTATTGGGAGTTGGGGTAATTTATAGACTAAATTTACATATTTTCGGCAATAAACTATGGCATATCCAATATTATACATTGATATAGTATATCCAATACTAATCAGTTAATTTTGCAAATATATCTTACATATTGACTGATATATATAGCATAAGGCCAAATGGAAGTTTGAAAATCTTATTATCAATTTATTAGGTATATGAAAGATAGGGGTATTATGACCCGACTTTTCAATTTTTGAAATTACTTTATATTATTAACAGAATATAGTGCTTCCCTGAGTTTCATTAAGGTATCTCATATACCATGACCAACATACATATATGGAGTAAAATTAACCGGATGTTTGAAAGCTCTGTGATTAGTTATATGAGGGTTAGGGAAAATTTTCATCTAACTTTATTCATTTTAGACACAAAAATGCACCATTATAAGAAAAATACATCCACTTTATTTACTACACTAATTTGATACAATACACGAAATGCAACAATATATCTCACAGATTGACCGTTATTTCTGGTAAAAAGTTAACACCAGGCACTGGGGTCCCCATATTCGATAGCATGAACAGTTTTAGTCCGATTTTGAAAACTTTAATACTTGAGATGGTATACCTCAAATTCACTTTTTGTTCAAAGGTTTGTCCCGATATATTCATTGGTGATTGATTTGGTTGTAGCCGATTACGCCAATTTTCGCACTGTAACAGAGGATCGTCATGATAATTTTATGAGATGTGTGATTTTACCAGATGAATGGCGTTCTGTGGCAGTGGTCCGATTACACCCATCTACAACACCAAACTTTTTCTGGTGGCAAGGAAATCTTAATTTTTACTCAAATTACATTTACTAGTTGAAACTTTCGGTTGTTTGAAATATAATATATTAATTCCTATTATATAGTTTCAGTGGAAACTTTAATTCATTTTTGTATATGTTCCCGTATTTTAAGTGCAAAAACGAGTCGAAAGTCGTTCGTGAATAAGGTTTTAGCTTAACATTTTCTCAATGCGTGCAGCAGAGCACTCAACTGGAAATTCCACTTCAACAAGCAATCCATACAACTAATTGAAAATCAAGGTAACATATTTTTAATCTGAAATCAAAGTTTCGGATTTTGTTTTGAATTTCGCATACGCAAGTCTAGTTGGTTCTGAGTACTATAACTCTACTAGGAGAATGTATACAATTTAATTTCCTTTGCTTGCAGCTATTTGGAATACATTAATTAAATGCAAGTGCCAGTTTGTAAAACTTACCCTCACTGACTGACAAAAGTAGTGCAATAACTTCCGAATTTCCGAAAAAGCGCAATCAAAGCAAAGCAAGGCGCAAATAGTGATTCTGGCAATGGCGCGCAAGGAGCCAACCGTTCGCACTGCCATACTAGTGCGGGAAGGAGTAAGTTATTGACGGCGGCCTCTGTGTGATGGAAGCGCTGAGCGGTAATACCCCAGTCCGGCAGTCTGCCGTCAATCCCATTACCAAGTACTGTTTTGATTTGACTGCTACGCTGTGTTCTGTGCATTTTGTTAAAAACTCACTTTTAGACGAAGTTTTAATTAAATTTAGCATTGCATTTTAACAACGAGCAGCAGAACATTCGCTATCAAAGCGAAACGCGTTAATGACGTAATTTATAGATTGTTTATTTCGCTTTTATTAGCGCCGTTTTTATTTTAACATTTAGCGCCAGCACTGAATTGAAATTAACTAAAGCTAAGTATTAAATTTTAATGAGAGAGTTTGCTGAAATTGAGTTTTTATTGCATTTGTTATTTAGCATTGTTGGCTAAATAAAGGTAAACGGATTTGACAATTTAATCAAATTAGTTTAAAATTTTAAATACTAAAAATTTGTAGTTAAATTAGATTGCAGACAATTTAATAATAATTAACGAAAGCTACAATGCGAATGTTTAGGAATAATTTACAACATAAATATTCAAACATATTCAGGGGTTAGGTCATTCTGCAGTCCTTAAAAATAACCCGAATCTGACTATTTAGTCACAGAATAAGAAAAAGTAATATTTTTCTTCTTTTGGGCATTATTAAAAATTTATTAGAGAATATAAACATTTTTATATTCAGAGTATGATTCTTAAATTTTACTGAATATTTTGTGGTCGTGGCAGTGGTACGATAACGCCCATTTGCAAAACCAACTGACTTACGATGGCCAAAAACCATATTTCATCAAGATATCTCAATTTTCAGTCAAGTTACAGCTTGCACAGACGGACAGACAGTCACTCGGATTTCAACTCATCTCATTTTAGGTGATACAAACAACCGGTAGGTGAACAAAACTTTTATACTCTGTAGCAACATGTTGCAAGACTACAAAAATATTACTAATTTGTGAAATTGTGAATCAAAAAATGCTTTTCTATTCAATCTGCTAAAAGGTCAAAGAGTTCGGATCAGTCAGCATCTGAACTCAAAATTTATACGCGTTTTGTTTGAAACTACATTTTTAAATCAGACGACGTATTCATATAAAACTTTATCTGTAGCTTCACAATAAAATTGTCTATAAATTTTATTGGTTATAATTGTACATTTATTATAAAGTATTTACTCTCTGTTCATCAGTAAAAACTTTCAGCTTTTTTTACAAGTCTGCCGTGGTATAAAACCTATGTAAATCAAAAAATAGAAGTCTCATATGGGTAGGTTACGATTCTATCTTTATTTGGTTTCAGATAGCAGAACTTTTAGAAGTAAATAGCCAAATTTAGACTATTTTTCAGGGCATCCGGGCTGACCTAACCCTTTAAGTAACTTTAAGTTTCACTCTGTGAATTATGTTTATTATAGTTTGACAGTTGGAAAAATATTTGTAGCGCGTTTGTTCGTATGAATCTCAGTGTATTATCGAATGTGAAAGGTTGATGTGGTGCTCAGGACCCTAGACGAAACGAATGTGTTTAAGCGAACTTCGTAACATCTCTGATACAAACTTGATTAATTACTCACAAGCAGTTTATAGCTTTTCAAGATTAATATTTTGAGCAGTTTCAAAGATAAATGAACATAAACATATTAAAAAGACATGGCAACCAACTATTCTGAACCAACTTCGTCATCAAACATATGATTTCAAAGTATTCATAACCTTGTATTCTATGCTACTGCAAGAGTACAGTAATTTTTGTATACATATATGGATTACAAGTATACTGCAGTTTTAGTAATTTATAAATACAATATTACTGTATTGAATAGTTTATAATTAATGTATACCTTAGCCACAGCAACGCGTGGACGTGGTCCTCTAGTATCTTATAAAATTGTGTAACAATTTAATGCCTGTTCTATGACAAACAATATGTTAAATATTGGTTTGCTGTATGTCTTTTATTGCCATATTGCCATTGACCAAAACAAATATATTTAAGCTATAATAAGATATTAATTAGTTGTAAAATATTAGAACTACTAAAACTAGCAAAAAGTACCAATCCGTAGAAGCTTGAAAACGATTGGTTTTGTTTTGTAGCTTTTTAGATAAAAAAAGATATAATTAGTAAATCAGTAAATGAACGGATATCGGACTTATCGCATTTTGTTCAGCGCTAGACTTCACCTGTCCTAGATCACGAGATTGATAACTTTTGTTATGGTTACTAAATTAGTAGATTTCTAAAGATCCTTATTTAAGTTAACGTCTTAAATTTTTTCCAGTACTGTATCTCTTACGATAATAAGATCAAGGTCTACTAAGAACAAAAAAGCCAGGGATGAGAAAATATTGTTCTTGGATGCATTACTCAAAGACAAGATGCGTTTGCTATCAAAAAAAAAATGGCGTTGATACAATACCTAAATCAATATATTTTGGTAGCTACTATTCCTTAGACATGGATCCATAAACATAGCTCCATAGAAATACTCGTCATACAAGTATAGTTTAAGAGCGAATATTTTACTCAACCATCTCATTTCGCACAAAAACTCCATAAATTCCAATATACTAATTCGTTCATTCCTTAGCATAAACATACAACCCAACTACTTAGATAAATAATATTATTTTATTCTAAATAGTAGTTTTTACCACAAGCATACCTACAAATATATATACATATATATATGGTCCATTTTGTTTAAAAAAGTCTCAGCAGCTCTATATTGCTCACCCTGTTTTATTCCAGTTATTATTAACGGTTAAATGGTCTGTAAGTCGGTCGGTCGGTCACTCACCTTCAAAAACGCTTTGGCCTTCAGTAGCAAGGTTTCATCGTCACTATATCCTCTTCGTAGTTCAGCAATTTTAAACTAATTCCGTTTCCATTTCCGTCACAACCGGCAAAGCCTCCACGATGGTCGTGGTTGCCACAGTTACCGAATCTCACGGAATATATGTCGTCGTTAGTGAAGCAGCATCTGCACTGGACATGCAGCAAACCAACGCCGAAGCGGTGCGTTTTGGTCAAATCGCAGACACTTGCTCCAGTTCGGCCGACGAGCGTGCCGAATTCATCATAACCACGTTTTTCGCTGCATAATCGGTTACAAAACGATCGCTATTGCGCGGATGTATATTGCCAACTTCCTGTCGGCAACACCACGGATTTCTTGTAGTGAGTATGCGCTTGAAGGCGTCACGAAATTCTTTGTTGAATATTGAGTAAATGATGGGATTGAAGGCCGAGTTGGAATAACCTAGCCACGAGAGTATTTTAAAGGTCTGTCCCCCGATGCAGGTTTTACAAAAGGCGGCGACAATATTGACACAAAAGAATGGCACCCAACAGATTAGGAAGACCCCCATGATGACACCGACCGTTACGGCGGCCTTGTGATCAGAGACATGATAGGGTGAACTGTGATGTAGATTGCGCACTTTGAACTTTTTCGGTTGGTTTTTGTTACGTCGTATACTTTTGTAGCGTTGCTTCTCGGCCACCTCGCCGGGTCGCGTCACCGCCTTAATGGACTTAACGTGCTTCTGTGCGTAGCAGTAGAGTCTGAAAAAAGGTAATGGAAATTGCAGTTAGTAAGTGATGTCGTTTTAAATTCATTATAAAATATTCAAAGAATATTATATATATTATATATACATACATATATTCTATATAATACATATTTAATTGATATCTGATGTCTTTAAGTATAGAATTGTACATATTTATACATATAATATGAACCCTTCTTGAATTAATTTATCTCTTCAAAATAGCAATTGTCAATGAAATGAGATGAGATTGAAGCTTCGATTAAATCAAAAGGCAATTGCATCCAAAACCCGAATTTCTTAAAGGAAACGTTTTTCTTTTAAACCGCATTAGCTTTTAGAGAAATTTATTATTTTGATAATAACGGTAAGGTAGTGGCATTACGGTGAAGTAATCAACTGCTTCTCCACTTCTATTCGTCACCTGGTTTGAGCATCAAGTACCAGTTCGGAATTATAGAGAAGATTGCAAAAGCAATTGCTTGCTCTGTAGTGGAGAGAACTCGAAATAGTGATGCTGATTGTTGCTTCAAAACCGCACCAATTTCTATTAGTTCATTTCCCTACAGGGAGATATTAACGATTGTATGTATTCCATAGAGGCATTGAGTTGGCTGGCGAACCAACTACCTCTCATCCATGCGCATACAATGGCGTATTTGTTTTAGTGCGCAAAGGAAATTGCAAATTGTTGCTGCCGTAGAAAGGACGTGCCAACGTGTTCATTCAGACAACAATTACACCTTTTTCTTGTCAAATTCAAGCACGTCTCACCTTGCAATAACCAATTTGGGCATATTTCACAGCGCAATCCGAAAGTTGCCTTTTTAAATTTTTCCTATTCTTCTTGAGAATACTGGAAGATCAAACCGCCAAGCCGCAATTCCGCGAAAAATGGCGCAATTGTAAGTGGAAGAACGGCGGAAAAGCTTTTATTGGAGAAGTACGTGCAAGTGTGCTTTGCAATTGCATACGAATCTTCAATTAAACCATTCGCATTGTAACACTGCGGTGTAAGTTGCACCGTGAGGTGTGGCAAAATCCACTTTGTGTTGTTAGTGCATGGCATTAGGCGATTTGCAAAGAGCCGTGTAATCAACAAAGGAGGTGTGTATGTTCCAACGCTAGAGTACTAATGGCATTCGCTGCCTCGCACACACACACACACGTGATCGTTTTCGGAGAATGAACGTGGAGGAGGGACGGTAATGACCAGCTTGGTTGCACCGGTTCATCGCGTAATGGTTTTATGCTCATCTATGAGTAAATTAGAAAATAAATAAAAAATTACTCTTTCCCACTTCGCTTTGTAATTTCGGTAGAGAAACGAAGTTAAATGGGTCTCAAGTGGAAATTGAAAAATACTGGGAGTAGTCGCCAGTATAAATGGAACGTTAAAATATTAAATTGTGAATATTTGGAATTTACTCGAAAGAATTAGGAATATGAAATTTGCAATTAATTCAAAAAAAATTCACCTAAACACATTTGGCAACACATAAGCTCTTGCCTTTAAAACTTTATGAATATTCACTACTGAATATTTTAATATATATGCTAGGTTTATGGCGTAAAAGGTGTGAGCTTCTGTAAATTAAAAATTAATTTTAAAGTGCACGTCGTTTCGAAATTCTATGAAATACTCGTAAGTGCAACTACTACCTAGTGTGTCGCCAGTTTTCGAAGTATATTTAAATGTTTTGCTACTCTTTGTGTTTGAAGTGTTATTGCTGATACTTTTTGTAAAAATCGTACTTATTCCTAAAATATTTCTAAAATTGGACATTGATGAACAATTAGTGATCTTAGTTGATAAACCTTCATACAAAAGTTTAATCCAATAAGCTGCGACTGGTTACGAGCTTGATTAAAAACAAGGTTGTTATGAGCTTGATAAAATATGTTATTGTTTTAACGCTTGTTTTTTTTAGACGTGTAGTTTTCAATAACGCAATGTTTTATTTTCGGAGTTGGTCTTTTTGACAACGGTTACTTGATTTATACTTAGTTTGGTGTACCTTTTCACTACGAAGAGACTGACTTCATCGCTGCTTTCGATATTCGGCCAACATAATCGACGTGTACCGAGTGAATATTACACTTTCTCAGAGACGCTGCTGATGTAGAGCTAAATATCGAAGAATACCCGCATGAGTCTATCCGCCTTCGCGCGCAACAATTTTAGCTGTGTCCATCTATTTTATGGAACGATCTTGAGCTTACAAAGTCCAAATCGTTCAATAATTGAAACCGAACGGTGAATGAGCCCAAAACGTGATGGCCACAATTCCCGATTTTCACAAGAAAATTTTTTTCAGCGATGAAGTTCAGGTTTGGTTCGATGGGTACGTAAATAAACAAAATTTTCGCATTTGCAGTGATGATAATTCACAAGCCATTACTGAGACGCTGTTACATCCTCAAGAGCGAGTTATGATTAAGGGTTTTTTCATGATTGAACATCCTCCAAGTTGATGTGGACGACCTTTGGTTCCAATAAGTCGGCGCTACATACCATACAACCAACGAAGCAATCACTTTTTTTAAGGAAACTTTAGATGAGCGCATTATCTCGAGTCGTGAGCCTGTTGCCTGGCCTTTAAGATCGTTCGATTTAACACCGCATATTTAAGAAACAACCCTACATGGCTAAATTAATTAATTGAGTTTAAAGAACGTCATATAACCTCTAAAGAACCGGATGCCTATTCGCCTAGAAATATGTATGACATTTTTCGGGAATATTATGGCTACATACATATAAAGAATCACGCATTGGCTCAAATTTTATAATCGCAAACAAATGTTTTAATTTTTATGCCTTTAATAGAAAGGTAATTTAAATTTATTAAAACTCGCATTATTTTTTGTTATTTTTCACACACACGCAGGATGCAAAAAAGTTCATTGGAAATTTGAAACAAAACTTTTTTCCAGCCTTTACTGAGATGCGCATAGACGAAGCGCTATCAAATTAAAAATATGCTTGAATTTGCCACCGGCTTCGCTTTTTATGAAATTCAAGGAAAAGCCCTAAACGCAATTCAGTTGATGAACACAAAAAGTTTTAAATAGCAGATGGCCATGAAAAAATGCACAAAACAATTTTTTCAAACTTACGCTATAAAATATTATGAAAAAATGCACGTTTGGTAACCACAACAAACTGATAACAGAGTTACAAACTAAAAAACTATTCTCATGCAACAGCGAGAAGCGCCAACAACAAATAAGGGTGAGGCAAAGCTACAGAGGCAAAAAAAAAAAAATATTGAGGGCGCGCCATATAAAGTAAACGTTATTGGCCAATGCTGCAAAATGGCAATCTGTACATTGGGAAATAAACCCAAAAAATGCAAAGGTACAAAGTTGTCCAACGAGTTTAGTAGAAAGGCGAACCGGAAAATATTGAATACTTTATAAAATATAATGAAACAAAATAGTTATCGGTATTTTGTTTCAATAAATATTAAAATTTAAATATTTTTAGTCGAAAAGGTGTTAAAGCATGCAGAATATGTGGCAGTTGCAAGTGCAAACAATAACTTTTCACGGTTGAATAAAATTTTATGTATGAACAGAATTAAATAAAAGTAAAAACAGAACAATACTCAGAATGCATAAACGAAATAATAAAAAACCTTAATGGCACACTAAAGTAAATGAGTGCATAAAAAGTTCGGAAGTTGGCGCCGGTCGACGAGAAAGAAATCACGGAGGAGGCATAGCGCGCCACAATAATAAAAAAGTAACAAATATAATGAACAAAACACATAAGAGTAGAAAAAAAGCAGCAACAAAAAGTAGTTTTGTTTACTACTCATTTATTGCCAAACACTACAATTTACGGACTGGCGTCTATTGCATTCGCTTCTATATAAAAAAAAGTAAGTGTGAGCTAAGATCGGGTATAACCGAACATTTTATCCTCTTGCAACTTGAAATCGTGTATAAATTACAATCAAATTTGATATATTTTTGACTCATATTAAATGCCAAAAACTTAGACTTAGATTTATTGCTATATTTTAGTTCGCGTCAGTTTAAGTTATATTATTGTTATAATTGTTATATTAACTCGTCCAAAGAGGCTAAATTAAATATACTGAGTTGATGTGGAAATTCATTAGGATATGAGGTTTGGGCAACACCAATTTAATTGATATTGAGAGCAAATCACACATTTGACCAACCTAGACGATTTAAAGTCAGGTGTAGAGTCGGAAATCCTTTTATGGCGATAGAGAAGGGACTGAAAGGGAAGGCTGATTGCATTAGTTTTGACATTGTTCAGGTGT